CTGATACCAATTGTTGAACAAAAAGAGTATACAAGATAACTCTAATTATTCCAAGAAGAAGAAAATAAAGCACACTCTAAAGAAAGCTCACAAAAAACACTAATTAGCAAAGCTTTTCTTATTTAGCACTTAGCTTTGTTTTTCCTTTGGATGATTTACAAGGCTTGGGGACTTGGGTATTTATAGCAAACCAAATGAAAGCTACTTAATTAAACTAAGATTATTTACTACCACACAAAACACATTAATTGCACCTAATTATTTTTTTCACACAACCATACCTAACATTGCCTAACATTGCCTAACTTTGACATTGACTAACATTGCCTAACATTGCCTAACTTTGACATTGATTCTCAACAAAGCTCTCCAACAATCCCCGTGAACCCACTATACAGCCGCCGTCGCTCCCCTAGGGTTTACGTACGCAAAAACTCCCAGACTATTTGCTCCGACTTTCTCGAACTAAACCCTCCTCACGAGGACGAGTTGGCACAAGTTAGTTTCGTTCATGCTTTTAAGGTTCAAAACTTCAAAATCAGCAAAATCTCCTTAAGTTTAACTTAAATTATTATCATATTAAGACCCCAAACTAAATTAAGTTTAACTTAAATTACTTGCTAAATTTATGCATGGACCATCAAAGAAGCACTTGGGAGCAGCTAAGAGAGTTCTCAGATATATACAAGGCACACTAGACTATGGAATTGAGTATGAGAAGGGCAATGAATCAATTCTCATATGCTATTGTGACAGTGATTGGAGTGGAGATGAAACTGATGGAAAGCACATATGGTTATGCTTTCTCATTTGGAAGTGGGGCTTTCTCTTGAGCCTCAGTTAATCAACACAATGTTGCATTGTCAACAGCTGAAGTTGAGTACATGAGTGCTACAAAACCAACCACACAAGTTGTGTGGTTGAGGTTTGTACTTCAAGATTTTGGTGAAGAATAAACTGAAGCTACTCATCTCTACTACGATAATACATATGCCATTGCTCTGACAAGAAATCATGTGTTCCATCAAAGAACAAAGCACATTGGAAGAAGATATCATAACATTCGAGAAACATTGCAGTCAAACATCATCAAGCTAATCTATTGTAAATCAGAGGATCAGCTTGCTGATATTTTTCACCAAGGCACTTCCCAAAGATCGATTCTGCACACTTAGAGAGAAGCTTAGAGTTAAACCAACTACTAGCTTAGAAGGGAATGTTGGAAACTAAATGACATAAAAATTAATGATTGATTTATTACTTAAACAAAAAGCTAAAACAAAAAGTAAAGGGCAAGTGAATTGTATCAAGTTTTGAAAACTAAATGACATAAAAATTAATGATTGATTTATTACTTAAACGTTGATAAACGTACTCATTTCTATTGGTGATACATCATTTAGTTGCAAATTTTGTCTCCAAACATAGTCTTTCTAGCATTACTCTTTGAACTTATGGAGCGGAGTGCAGTAGGCTGCGAGCTAGATATATACTATTCCCCTACCTCTGCCTCTTCCCATGCCTCTGCCCTTTCTGATGTATTTTTCATGAAACCCAATCTAAGAAAATAACTTCACCTCCAATCTATTTTTCATGACTTCCCTTGAATGATCTAACCCCATGGTGGATTTTGAAATTGAATTTGTCCGGGTCAGCTGCCAAACCAATTACCAAATTCATTAGTTCTTAGAGATCACATGCCATTTTTCAACTTTCAAATGCTAAACTAATAAATCTAAAAGAAAATGCTGAAATAAGATTTTTGAACATGATCATACTCTCTGGTCTTCAATTATTGCGGTAGATTGGATGTATGATAAACTGTTACCAGGGAACTTAAAGAAACCATGTTAATCTTAACAGTGACAAATATTCCAAGTAAATGAAGACTTATTACTTGAGCATCCAAAGAAGTGTTCGATTCAATGCCAAATTTTCATGTCTACTATCACATTAGGATGCATCGGTAGAGCAAGAAACCCTTATTCAACGCCAAAATCCTAAGTCAATGCCAAAAACCCTTATCCAATGCCAAAATTCCATTTAAATACCAATATTTGTATACACAAATCTATAAAATTTGTTGATGCACAAAATCGGGTTGATTTTGGATCAACGTTAATCCGACCGTGAATCATACATACGCCCAAGAACAAAACGATTTATCGTGGTTCACCCCAAGTTGAGATTACGTTCACATTGGTGTCGATCCGGTTCACCATATAAAATGAGAGCTACATTGTTATTGCTAGAGATGCTATGGTTTGCCATCTTTTCTATATCCCTAAAGTGGGGGTGAAATGCCACTTTTATAGAATAAGGATTTTTCTCCCCTCTTACATATATCATATCATAGGTTAAATAGTGAGACCCAAATATTAAGCCCTAATATATAATACAACAAAGTTTATTGTCGGTGTGGTTCCTTTCCAACTATGAAAATATTATGGGTTAGGAAAAAATAAGCACAACTTACACAGAAATCAAACTTTTAAAATGTGAAAGGAAAGCACTCAATCATAAAGCTTACAAAAGGAAGAAAAAAGTTGCAAAAGTTGCAAAAAGGTACAATGCAACATGACCACACGTTTTTTTTTTTGTTGGACCTCGAAGAAACACCATTACCAGAGGACCGTACTCCCTCGGTGATATCTTCTCTACCCTTATTCAATGCCAAACCCCAAATTATGAAATCCTAATCACTCCTTTCCCTTTTCTCTATATGCTGACAAGGACAAATTGATGAGAGATAAGGATTAAGGTCGAAAAGACGAGAGAGATGAGAGAAAAATGTCAAAAACAAGAAGGGGGTTGGTTTTCACAAAATAATAATAATAATAATAATAGAAATGTGATATCCATACATCCCTTTTTACTTCTTTCACACTCTTTTAATTTTCGGTCATCAGATCGGATGAATTGAAGAAGATCAAATGACATAAATTAACAAGGGGTGTGGGAGAAGTAAAAAGAGATGTGTGGATAGCACACCCCATAATAATAATCCTTTAAAAAATTGTTAACAATAATGTTGATAGATTTTTTACAGAATAACCAAAATAATTTAAGTGGACAAACTTAGAGGTCACGTTTATGAATTTTCAATTTCGGGGACAAAACAAAACCAAATGGGTATAGCCATATATAATGAGTTAAAACTTTAACGCTTATTTTCAGCTACGTTTCCCAGAACTCAATTTTAATCTCAATTTGCTCCATATAACTCAAAAGTCGTTACTCTATCCCCTGAAACTCATAGTTCGCTCCACTTTGCCCCTTGGAACTTGATTCGATCCTATTTTGCCCCATGATACTTGAAAGCCGCCTCTGTAAAACTCAAAATTTGTTTCACATTGCCTTAGATATGCTAGTTTCTTATGTGGATTTGAATTGGGTGCGCCAACTAATCAATTTATTTATTTATTTTCAAGCTCTTCAATTTCTTATAAGTTTAATATTATCTTATTATTGAATATTAGCGCAAAATGGATATTTAGATTATTTATTGCACACGTGGCATAGTTTTATTAAGTGTTGGGTGCTATATATCTTTCAAGAAGCAACCTATAAGTTTTAGTACAAAAGAGAAAAGAAAGTCCACAAATCAAAGTTGAACGAATTTTGAATTTCAAAAAGTAAAATAATAACTTTAAGTTATAAGGGGTAAAATATAATCAAATGCAGTTTTAAAAGACGTAACTAAAAATAAGTGAAACTTAAAAAGGAAACTTTAAACTTTAAAGGTAATAAAAATATTTTATTGCTTATCTCTTTTACTAAATCCTTTTTATTCCTTAACGAGGAAGCTCAAGTCACTTTTGTTATTAGGCCATCTCCAACCGAAGGGTCCAGAGGGCCAGAGGGCCGAAAATAGCCCTAAAACCGTCTCCAACCGAGGGCTAGGCCAGAGGGCTCGGGAATCTGGGAGGGCCCCACGGGATCGGAGAGGGCTGGAGGGCTGGAGGGCTCGACAGAAATAACATTTTGAATTCAAACCTTTTTTTTTTTTTTATTATGAATTTAAACCTTTTTTTTCTATAACTTCCTATAACTTCTATTTTACAAAATAACATTTTGAATTCAAACCTTTTTTTTTTTTATGAATTTAAACCTTTTTTTTTAATGAATTTAAACCTTTTTTTTTTATGAATTTAAACCTTTTTTTTTTCTTTTTTTTTTCTATAACTTCCTATAACTTCTATTTTACAAAATTTGTTTCAATTTTTTTTTAATTCTATTTTTTTCCTATAACTTATATTTTACAAAATTTGGTTCATATTTTTTTCATATAACTTCTATTTTACAAAATTTGTTTCATATTTTTTTTTTAAATTCCATTTTTTCCTATAACTTCTATTTCACAAAATTTGTTTCATATTTTTTTTAAATTCTAATTTTTTCCTATAACTTCCTAAGCCATTATACAACATTAAATTAAATTAAGTAACATGAAACAACATTAAACAATATGAAACAACATTAAATAACATTAACCGACATAAAAATTATACAACACTAACCAACATGATTTTTAAATAAAATTAAGTTGTAGTTTTTAAATAATAAATTATGTTTGGCCCTCGGTTGGAGACGGTTTTTTTTTTACAGGGCTAAAACGAGCCCTCTGGCCCTCTGGCCCTCGGTTGGAGACGGAGGCAAATATGACCCTGTACTGTTCATTAAAATATTAATATCTTGAAGAATCTTGAAGTGCCAGAAGGCTAAAAGGAACCCTCTGGCCAGCCATCGGTTGGAGATGGGCTTAGAAGTCGAACATGAGTTAAACATCGAATATGATGAAAAATATCGGTTCTATATATAAATCATTATTAGTAGAGTGGCCGGGGGATTTTCGTTTCGTTTACTCTTCAGGGCGCCAAACTTTAAAGCGGGAGAAAATAATTCCAGTTCTCACGTTTTGCTCGCGGTGGTTCTCGGATTCATGACCTTTGCTTGTTTCAGCAATCTATTGAAATCATAGGTAAGAAACTAACAACTTTTTTTTTGTTCTTCTTGTTTTAAGACGACTAAAGGTAAGGCCTTTTGAATCCCTCTCTCGTTAATTCTTTTGAGAACTTGCTTGGCTGATGAATAATTAGCAGGAACTCCTGCTTATTTTGATTTCATCGTTTAAATGCGTTGCTTCAGTTAACCGCTGCTTATTTGAAATGGGATGCTTTAGAAACAGTAGAGAAGATCAACCGTCGGTGATTTGTATACCTATTTGCTTATAGGCTGTATAAATTGATGAATACCTTTAAAAATCAAACTAATCCCATGAACCTAGTGTAATTTTATTTAAAGCCATGGGGCGTGCACCCTCTCTTTAGTCTTTACTGCTCATAGATTGGACCGGTCGTGTATCTCAAACCGACGTTTGGTTCGCAGATTAGAGTCATGTTAATCCAGATACAATTATGAAGAAAGTTGGTTCTATCATAAAACCAATTGGCAACATGAGTAGTCTAACTTTTTATAAGCCTTGAAAGTTTCTCTTTTCATCGATGTGGGACTCTTTTACCTTCACTCCTCACACCCCCATCACGTTCAACAAAATTTTCAAGTCAAACATTTAAGCAACATCAATTGGGTGAGGTGTGGCCATTAGAATTCACATATGGGCCAACCTGTTCTGATAGTATGAAGAAAGTTGATGTTCCACCACAAAACTAATTGGCAATATTGGAAGTAGTCCAACCTCTTATAAGCCCTTACAAGGTTTCTTTTTTCACCGAGTCTCTTACCTTCACTACTCCCACATTCCCATGTGATACCAAAATTACCAATATAATGCATTTAATGGAAGAGTATTACTGGAAAACTTACAAATTTTGGTTCACATGACAATGTAAACCAAACATGAGAATGGAAGAAAACGGTATTTCATGGCCCTATTTCCCAGCATTTCCAAACACAGGACAGGAAGCTTCATTCCCACCAAGAGTTGTTCTTTCTTCCATTTACTCCCTCTTTTCATGCTATTGTCATTTGATGATAAGCTATTTATTTCATTTGTTTACAATTTCATTGCCGCTTTTATTTGTGAAACCTTACTTCACAACTTGAAGACATAGCCGGGGATTGTACTTACCCAGCCATTCTTCATTTAACACTTTGCGATAATTTGTCTCCTTGTTTTGTGTTCTCCCAGTTCCTGAGTTGAGAATGAGTGGAAAAGAAGGCCACGCAATTGGAATCGATCTGGGGACAACATATTCATGTGTAGCAGTGTGGCGTTATGATCACATTGAAATCATAGTGAATGGTCAGGGCAACAGAACAACTCCGTCTTATGTTGCTTTCACTGATACTGAAAGGTTAATCGGTGATGCAGCATATAACCAGGTCATTAGAAACCCCTCAAATTCAATCTTTGGTAAGGCTCATCTTCTTACATCTACATATATACCAATAGAAAGCTTTAATTTCTTTATCAAACCCTTCGAGGCTCCAAGTGTTTGCACTCTTACAAACTCTTTTGTGTTTTTTTTTTTTAATCATCGTCTTTTTCATTAGCTAGAGGTCGCACTTGGTGCGATGGCAAGTGCCTTTGCCCATGAGCGGTAGGTCTCGGGTTCAAGACTTGGGAGCAGCCTCTCCATAAATGGGGGTAAGGCTAGCCGACATTCACCTCTCCCAGACCCTGCGTAAAGCGGGAGCCTTGTGCACTGGGTACGACCTTTTTATCGTTTTTTTCATTAGCTAAGTATTGACTTTTCTTAACCTGAGCTTTGTGATCCTGCTAATGGGTGCTTAATGCTATGGTTGGGTGAGGGAATTTTCAAGTCTCGAGGGTCTGAGGATAAGTTAGCAAGGAATGGATCTCAAACTATTAGACAAGAGGGATTAAAAAAGCACCATATGAGCATTAGAATGTGAGAGAGATTTGTCAACCCTTGCTTGCAAGGTGTTTATAAATCCCTCTTGCAAACCTCTGTAATGCTTACGCGATGCATTTCTAATCCTTCCTAATGTTTAGTGATCGATCCATTACTAATTTGACATCAATATTGTGGGTTTTGGAAGTCCCTCACCCCAATATATCCTATGGGTATTTCTTGGGTAGTTACAGACTTACAGTACCCAAATTAACTAGTTTTTGCATTTTAATGAGGGTAGTTATCTAAGACATAATTAAATGATTTAGGTACTGAATGACATTATATAACTTTGATAACAGCATCTTTTTAGTTACAATCCAGTCAGGCTGAATGAGAAACTTGGAAAAAGTGAAACATTTTTCATGTTATTACTTGACATTTACAAATAAATAGAGATATAGCTAACTGAAATTTTTGGTTTATGTTACACCATTGTTTGCAATCCTTCCACTTTATTTGATTGAGTTTCTAAGTTGGCATTCATTTTACAGATGCAAAGCGATTAATTGGAAGGAGATTTGGTGACGCTTCTGTTCAAAATGATTTGAAGCTCTGGCCATTCAAGGTCACTGAAGGTCCTGATCACAAGCCCATGATTGTGGTTACCCACAAGGGTCAAGAGAAACAGTTTGCTGCTGAAGAAATCTCATCTATGGTTCTCACAAAGATGCGGGAGATTGCTGAGGCCTACCTCGGCTCAAGTGTGAAGAAAGCAGTTATTACTGTCCCTGCTTACTTTACTGACTCACAACGTCAGGCTACAAAATGTGCTGGTGTGACTGCTGGCTTAGAGGTGATGCGAATCATCAACGAACCAACTGCAGCCGCCATTGCTTATGGAATTGACAATAAGGCTGGTTGGTATAGCAAGAGAAATGTTATGATATTTGACTTGGGTGGTGGTACTTTAGATGTGTCACTGCTTACCATAAGTTCTGGTGACTTTGAAGTGAAGGCGACAGCTGGAAATACTCACCTTGGTGGTGAAGACTTTGATAACAATATGGTGAATTACTGTGTTGAGAAGTTTAAGAAGAAGCATAGTTTGGACGTCAGTGGAAACCCTAGAGCTCTTAGGAGGTTAAAAAATGAATGTGAGAAGGCGAAGAGGAGACTTTCGTTTACGTCCGTGACAGATATTGAAATTGACTGTTTGTATCGTGGTGTTGATTTTTACACAACTTTTACCTGTGCAAAATTTGAACAACTAAACATGGATTTCTTCAACAAGTGCATGGAGCCTGTGGATAAATGTTTGAAGGATGCCAAAATGGACACAAGCAATGTCGATGATGTTGTTCTTGTTGGTGGCTCCTCTAGAATTCCCAAGGTGCAGGAGCTATTACAGAACGTGTTCATCGGCAAGGAGCTGTCCAACGGCATTAATCCGGATGAGGCTGTGGCATATGGTGCTGCTGTTCAAGCTGCTGTCTTGAATGGTAATCAAAGTTTGAAGCTTCAAGACTTCACTCTCTTCGATGTTATTCCTATGTCACTTGGGACAGAATATCGTGAAGAAGGACAGCTCAATGACCTCATGCATGTCATGATTCCTAGAAACACCAAGATTCCCACCAAGAAGAACCATACTTTTGTAACTGGTCACGACAACCAAAGTTCTGTCCGCTGTGGAGTTTACGAGGGTGAGAATGAGCTAACCAAAGATAATAATTATTTGGGTGGCTTTGTCATCGATGACATTCCTCCAGCTCCTAAGGGTGTTGCTAAAGTAGATGTTTATTTTTCAATTGATGCAAATGGTATCCTGAATGTTTCTGCTGAGGTCATGTCCACTGGCCAGAAGAAGGAGATTACAATCAAAAGATGAACTTCGGGAATTTACAGGATGAAGTAAGTAATGACATATAATTATAGCATACCGAAGTTGAAAATACCTACTTCCATTGTGAAATCAATTTGCTACTGGTTTACTTGTTTTACTTCTTGTTGGTGCATTGTTTTGACATGTTGGTTTTCTTTGCTAGACTCTTGGTTTTTATCCCTGTTTTGGTAGCAGACTTGCCTGCTGGCTTAGTATAATTAATTATGCAAGAAATCATGTTTTTGGAGTTATATTAATTCACTAGACATATACAAAATGCCTGACATAGATGCACATGTTATCGTATTCCGATTGCCAAATCTTCTCTATCAAGTGCGTAAAATGCTATAATATTCGTACTCTTGCTCATCTTTATTTGATTGGAATTCAAACTTCAAGTTGTTTGTTTTTTTTTTGAGAAGATGAAGGATGGAGATTATAATATTCGTACTCGACATGGTTTCCTACCGTCCCTTTTGCTTTTCGTGAAAGACAGCTGTGGCAGTACTGGAGATTATCTTGCTTCTGCTAATGGTCTTTCCCACATTGGATTGCTGTGGTGAATGAAGTATCCATTTTCTTCAAATTCTGAGCGTGCTCGAGTATATACTTCGCCAACTCTATTTCATTTTCCCCCTTGGAAAGCTCTGTAGTTGCCTCCTTGAGTTGATGAAGAAAAGCAAGTTTCTGGGATTTCAAGTATCCGATATCAAATGCGGAGGCCTAGAAAGGAAACAATGAAATCAATTGAATTCTTTATTTATTTTTTTATTTTTTTCAGATACGATGAGGAGAAGTTAGAAATGGTTTATTCAACTCCTGATTGATGCAAGAAATTTCGAAAATCGTAAAATGTGCTTCATGAGTGTGTGCAAGAGAGAGTGATAGAGGCGCAACATACGTACAGTAATATCATTTTCTTCCGCTTCGGAACCGTTTAAGGAAGATCTACCAGTCTGTCTTTTGGTACTTGGTGGATCAGATGTTATGCACAAAGTATTCAAAATAGTCATTCATCTCCGAAGAGGTTACATTGACGAGACTAGGTCCTCGTTCAAGCTCGTAATTTGCGTACCCGATCTAATGGGAAATATAGGACTATTCACCCATCCATTTTTACTTCCAACATCCTTTTTAAATTTTTAGTCATTGATTTTCTTCAATTTATTCAATCCGACGGTCAAAAATTAAGAGGAGTGTGAGAAGTATAAATGGGTGTGGATGACACTACCCAGTGGCAATGGCATTGATCCTTCTCTAAAGAAAGCTTGCAATTTGGCTTTTTAGGCAAAATGGCTCTGAAATTGGTATAACTCGTCACCTTGGTCCCAGAGATTTGAAATAGATCGAAGTAATTCCTGAGTTTGTCTATTGTCAATCATCTTGGCCATTCCATAAAAATCCTTGTTAAATAAGGATCGAAATTATAAAAATACTCTCAATTTAATAAACAATGGCCCAAAATATTTGACGAAAATAGAAGATATTTTGTCATATTAGTCCTTATTTAATAGAGATTTTTCACGAAATGACCAAAATAATTGACAGTCGACAAACTCATGATCATTGCTATTAATTTTAAACCTTAAATATCAAAATGAGGAGTTATGTCTATCTCAAAAACTATTTTGACTAAAAACCAAAAAACAAATACGCAGGATCTTCATTGTAGCACAGCAAGTTACAAAGCTGAGAGTATATCTTTCGATTGGGCCTACTTCTTTGTGTTATAGTTTTGGGCTCTCTGTTTCGGTCTAGCGGCTATATTGTGTGGGTCTAATTGGAATAATATTAGTGCAATGTATTCAAATTAGAAATTCCTCTAAGAAGCGATACCATCGCTGGGACAATATCGTCACTCAAGCTTGTATTACCCAGTCAGACTCCATCTAAATTTCGACATTGACAATTGTAACCTGCATACGTTCAAACCAGATCCTTTTTCTCTCCTCTACTTGTTCTATTCCACCGTCGAGACTGCAAAGTCACTTGAGTATCAACTAACTTGGATATCGAGTTACTTGATAATCAAGTGACTTGATCGACATACCATTGCCAACATAACGATCTTATATATTGACTTAATTTCAAATAAGAAAAACAGGAGAGAACCAAGCTTGAAGCATCTATCTTTAGTGGGAAAATTTTGTAATTGTTGTTTTATGGGTTCATTGTTATCGCTCGCTTTTAGATTTTACTTCACAACTAAAAAAAATTCAAAACATTTAAAATTGTTTTAACATTCAAGATTTTATTTTCATTCCTTTCTTAATTATTTCTTCCTCTCCCCTATCACCTTTCTTCAACCCTCATTTCTCTATATACTTTTGTCATATCTCCAAAAAAAAAAAAAGGTTAGAAATTAAAAGACAAAATCGTTAGCAAACAATGTCTCTAAACCATTAATGTGCCTTTTTTTTCTTAGAAACAAAAAAAAAAAAAAAAAAAAACAATTGGTGGCCACTGTAATCCACTATTTCTGGGGGCCGGGAAGAATCACAGAGGCAATTCAGCCTCCCTACAAGTCTGGTTTCCACATCAGCAGCGAGTTTCGAACCTAAGACCTCCAGTTTTTAGTTTGAAGGAAGTCTTGCAATCCGTCATTTACCAGTGGATCACCAGCTCGTGGTTAAACCATTAACGTGCCTTGAACTCATGTTAATTACTGAAAACATGATTCAAACTATTGTAATCCTAATTTCAAAAGATTATATCTCTACTATTTAATAGAACATTTTTGTCAAAAAAAAGAAAAGAATGAAAAGACAGTGTAGCTCCTCTATGCACAACTCAATAAAAATACCAAAAATGAAAAATCATGAGTGTTAAGATAATTTCGCACAATAAATTTTTGCAATGTTTTTTTTTCTCTTCCTTCACTCACAACCAAGTTAACCCACATTTCCCTAATCATTTACTCCCATAAAATTTCAAACCGTCCATCACTAATGTCCCTAATCGAGACACCTTCCCACGCCACAATGACGTGAATCTATCGATGAAAGCCTCCCCATGCACTGCTCGCACCGTCAACCTCTGCCAATAACATATAGTGAAAGCCGATCAAAGCCATATCTACATCCTTTCTATCGTTCACTACTCCCTCCTCTCTATCAGTGAGCTGCAGCTTCTCCCAAGGTCTGCCCTACTTCTTCCATAACACCATCCGTATCCAGTTCTTCCATAGCAGCCCTCTTATCCTCGCCCGCCCTCTGCAATACCTTCTACCACTCACAAGCTCTCCAACAATCCCCGTGAACCCACTATACAGTTGCCGACTCGGGATCCAAAGCAGACAATATCGTGCTAGAGTAGAGTCGAGCTCGGGGTGTGGTGGAGCTCGGGCCAAGATTTGACAATTTGGTATCAAAGCCAATCGCTCATTAGCTTCGGGTTCCGTAGGAACTCAGAAGTTAAGCGAGAATGTTGCAAGAGCAATTCCAAGATGGGTGACCCACTGGGAAGTTCTCGCGTGAGTTCCAATAAATAAAATCGTGAGGGCGTGGTCGGGGCCCAAAGTGGACAATATCGTGCTACGGCGGAGTTGAGCTCAGGCGGGGATGTGACATGTGGCGTGTGGACGTGTGGATTGGATTAGTTTGGTTGGCAGATTCAAGTGTGGACGTGTGGACGTGTGGGTTTTATCTTGTTTGAAAAGTTAGCCATCTAGAAGATAGGCTTTAGCCTATGCCATGAATCAACCTCTCATTCTACGTGTGGATTTGATCAGTTTGGTTGACAGATTCAAGTGTGGACGTGTGGCTTTTATTTTGTTTGAAAAGTCAGCCATATGGAAGATAGGCTTTAGCCTATGCCACATATTAGTCTCTTAATCTACATGTGGATTGGATCAGTTTGGTTGACAGATTCAAGTGTGGACGTATGGACATGTGGCTTTTATCTTGTTTGAAAAGTCAGCAATCTGGAAGATAAAGCCTATGCCACAGATCAGCCTCTCACTCTACGTGTGGATTTGATCAATTTGGTTGACAGATTCAAGTGTAGATGTATGGCTTTTATTTTGTTTGAAAAGTCAGCCATCTGGAATATAGAGTTTAGCCTATGCCACATATAAGTCTCTCATTCTACGTGTGGATTGGATCAGTTTGGTTGACAGATTCAAGTGTAGACGTGTGGCTTTGATCTTGTTTGAAAAGTCAGCCATCTGGAAGATAGGATTTAGCATATGCCACAGATTAGCCTCTCATTCTACGTGTGGATTTGATCAATTTGGTTAACAGATTCAAGTGTGGAGGTGTGGACGTATGACTTTAATCTTGTTTGAAAAGTCAGCCATCTGGAAGATAGGCTTTAGCCTATGCCACATATCAGCCTCTCATTCTACGTGTGGATTTGATCAATTTGGTTGACAGATTCAAGTGTGGAAGTGTGGCTTTTATTTTGTTTGAAAAGTTAGCCATCTTGAAGATAGGCTTTAGCCTATGCCACATATTAGTCTCTTATTCTACGTGTGGATTGGATCAGTTTGGTTAACAGATTCAAGTGTGGACATGTGGACGTGTGACTTTGATCTTGTTTGAAAGGTCAGCCATCTGAAAGATAGGCTTTACCCTATGCCACAGATCAGCCTCTCATTCTACGTGTGGATTTGATCAATTTGGTTGACAGATTCAAGTATGGACGTGTGACTTTTATTTTGTTTGAAAAGTTAGTCATCTGGAAGATAGGGTTTAGCCTATGCAAATATTAGTTTCTCATTCTACGTGTGGATTGGATCAGTTTTGTTAACAGATTCTGACACGCCCCAAGGCCTGGCAATTCCTGACACGACCCAATAACCAGACCCGACACGACACAAAATTAACAGGTGTTCGGGTCGACACGATAACGAATCAGGTCGTTATCGGGTAACCCGATAAGCACCTGTTAAGATAACGGGTTGGTTCAGGTATACACGTGGTTAACACGATAAGCAAAATATTAATTTTATAATTTTATAACCCTAAAAAAATACTATAATAATTATATATATTAATTCAACAATTTTATACCCCTAAAAACTATAATAATTATAATTCAGAGATCGCATACGCCAAAAATCATAAAAACAAACATTCAGAGATCAAGAAGCGGGACAAAACTTTTCAAAGATTATAAACGAAAAATCCCGATTTAACGGTTATTTTCACTCTAATTTTGATGATTTTTTACAGCTATACTCCTTAACCCTATATTAATACAATGATTGAATTTGATCTTCAATTTAAAATATTTACACTAGTGGATACCACAAAAACTTATGTTATGCTTAATGAAAGTATAAATAAACTCTAAGTGCTAGTGAATCTATCATTTGAATGGGATACGTATCCTACGAAACTAATTTCAACGATGCAACCGTCAAAATGTTTTGTATATGCTTCGAGATCGTATACGCCAAAAATCGCAAAAAACAAACATTCAGAGATCAAGTAACGGGAAAAAACTTTTCGACGGTTATAAACAAAAAATCACGATCTAACGGTTATTTTAACTCCGATTTTGATGATTTTTTATAGCTACACTCCTTGTCCCTATATGAATACAATGAAGGAATTCGATCTTCAATTTAAAATATTTATACAAGTGGATACCACAAAATCTTATGTTATACTTAATAAAAGGATAAATAAACTCTCAAGTGTTAGTGAATATATTATTTTGATGAGATACGTATTCTACAAAACTAATTTCAATGATCCAACCGTCAAACTTGTTTGTATATGCTTCGAGATCGCATACGCCAAAAATCATAAAAAACAAACATTCAGATATCAAGTAACGAGACAAAACTTTTCGACTATTTTAAACGAAAAATCACAATTTAATGGTTATTTTAACTCCGATTTTGATGATTTTTTACAGCTACACTCCTTGACCCTATATGAATATGATGATTGAATTTGATCTTCAATTTAAAATATTTACATAAGTGGATACCACAAAAACTTATGTTATGCTTAATGAAAGTATAAATAAACTCTTAAATGTTAGTGAATCTATCATTTTGATGGGATACGCATCCTATGAAACTAATTTCAACGATCCAACCGTCAAAATTGTTTGTATATGCTTCGAGATCGCATACGCCAAAAATCACAAAAAACAAACATTCAGAGATCAAGTAACGAGACAAAACTTTTCGACGGTTATAAACGAAAATTC